TATTTCATGTCCTCGAAGCAACAAATCACAGGAGCCTGCAAAGGTCATGGCTACACATTTCCATGTGGTGATTCTCCTTTGCCATGCCCAGGAATGAATGAGATTCCTCTACTTCTTCTGAACCTTATAAAACATATCCTAATAGCTGAAAATGCTGCTATTCTAATTTCAATAAGTTTACAGACTTAAAACTGTATTTCAGGTGTTTCATTTAGTTTCCTTATCTACATTTAACAATGCAACATCTGCCCATTAATAACTCCTCTGTGTCTTGTACTACTAGACCATGGCTTCTCAACCTAGCACCATTGACATTTTGAGCTGGATAATTCTCAACTGTGGAGCTTATCCTGTGCATTGTAGGATGTTGAGCAGCTGTCTAACCAGTAGATGCCGATAGCAACCCCTCCCCAAGTTGCTACAACCAAAAAAAAAAAAAGTGTCTCTGGACATAGCCAGTTATCTCCTTAGGTGCTAAAATCATCCCAGTTGACTGTATTAGATTATCTTTGAGGGGCATGTCACTAAATATATAAACAAATGAGACTACAAGATTACCTGGAGGAGGTCAGGAACAGAGCCCCCTTTAAAAGGCAGGAAATGGAGAGGGCTGTGGCCCACGTGGATGGAAAGTCAGGAGCAGAAGAGAATTCCAGGTGAGCATTACTGGTGTTCCAGTGGGTTCCATCATGATGACTTGGGGGAGGGGCAGGTGAACTCCATGATGCGGACCAGCCTTGATGACACTCCTCTGTGAGGCACAGCCCAGGGGTCTAATTGTGCCATTGTCTGGAGTAGGCATGCTACTAGCCTCCCCCCCCCCCCCCCCACTCTTCCTATGGGAAAGGTGTGCCTTTTAGCAAAGATATCTGGGAGGTTTTGTTGTTTTGTTTTGTTTTGTTTTGTTTTGTTTTGTTTTGAGTGTGTCTTCATGAAGCTTTCTTCAGAAAACACATACCCTGCCTCTGCTTAAATGTAGGTTTCTAATCTTGCAAATGCAAACCCCCTCCTATCTTCTGCAAGCCAAGCCTGGAGACAATGTGTGCCCCAGAAATACAGCTCATTGGCCATCCTCTCACCTGCATCCTTCTCTGCTCTGCACAGCTCAGCCCCCTGCAGCTGACAGCTTCTGAACAGCCCGCAGGGGAATTCAGACACCTGAGTTACCCTTTCCTTTGAAATCCCCAAGAGTCAACACAAGAATCATTATTTATTCTGGCTCTTTACAGTTACTTGGATTTTTTTAATATTATTATTATCCATCACTTCTATTCCCTGTCTCCCTCTCCTCCACCCCATCTGAAAAAGCTGGAAGTGATAATGAAACACTGTAAAGGCAAAATCAGTTCATAACTCTGCTGTTCAGAACAAGTCAAGCAAGAATGGCAGACTGTGGATGAACTTGTGTCTAGGTCACTGCTTTTTAATGTGCTTAGTACTGACTGCAGCCTAATTCACCCAAACCCTGCATAAGAGAAAATCTCCTGACAGTGTACCTTCTAGAAGCATCTCCCAGTCATCTTCTCTTCCTGTGACATGTGGCTTCCCCTGGGAGGAAGAGTCCGATTTAAAACGGGTATGCTTTCTATGACTGCGGAACCACTCTCTTTGCTTGCAATATCACGGGACTCTGGTTATCTCACTGAAATCTCTGAAACCTGAAAGCCTGCCCGTGTGAATTGATGGCAGTGGCCCCTCAAGGTAGAGAAATGTAGGCAATAGAAATGCATTTTGCTGATGAAGAGGCCTTTCTGTTTGTGTTTCTAGGATGCAGCTCAGCTGTAAAAGCTCTCTTCTTTACATAGACTTGAATGGCTATGACACCTGCGAGGAGCAACGTGGTTTAACATTTCTCCCGAAATGGAAGCCTTCTCCTGATTAGGAGAGCTCTTCCCATTCGCACCTCCCAGGACCCCCGCCCAGTGTGTTGGAGATGGCGATGGAATAGGTGTAAACTCCTGCACAGGGGAGGAGCCGAAGGCCTCTTGTTAATTCTCAGTCCATAGTGGCTTTGTTGAATGTGATCATTCAAGTGGTCTTGTGAGCTGCCATCCTTTAGGACCCCAGTGGACATCTTTAATTTCTAGTTTTTGAACTTTCCGATTCTTATCCCTAAGTCACATCTTTCTCTTCCTATAAGGAACAATAACTTCACTATTCCATCCTCAAGCCAACTAAGATAGAAATCTTTTAAATGGAATTTAAGCCCTAGAGGGAAACAAAAGTATGAAAAGCAAATCATAGGAAAGCTTTTTCCTTTTCTTTCTTTTTTTTTTTTTTAATCCACACATTGAACGCATCCCCTCACCTATGTAATTTTCTTCTTAAGCAGACATTTCTTGCAGTGGCCAGCATGTCTGTCCCTCCTTGCCTGCCCGGGACCATACCAGAAAGCACCACGTCCAAATTTCAGCAGCCCCTTGGCTTCTAAATTGGGAGCGTGTTACTCTCTTCTTTTCTAAAAAGGTTTGAGCATTACCTTCTTGGAGAGATAACACATATTCACAATTTTATACAAGTTTAGAAAGTGAGTGACATTCACTATTCACTGATTTGATTATTGACACTAGTTATATAGTCATGCATTAAAGCCAGTGGAAAAAAGTACTGAGAATATGTTCTAGAGGGTGACACCATTTTGGAAGACAAATCAATCTGTTGGTTTGCTCTGTGCTCCACTGGCAACACAATCCTGCCACATACTTTCCTTGTTTTACTTCCATCCTGTGGCTAGGAGAGCACCCTGGGTGAAACCATGGTGTACTAGAGGACCCTCCTGATACCAAGATTTCTTTGTCTTTGCTCTGGTTACTGTCTCAGCCATCTTGAGCTGCTATAACAAACTACTGTAAAGTGGGGGCTAAACAACTGCATTCATTTATCCCAGTTCTAGAGGCTGGAAGTCCAAGATCAAGGGACTAGCAGATGTGGTGTCTTTTGAGGGCCTTTTCCTGGTCCCCAAGTGGCTGTCTTCTTGCTGTGTTCTCACAAGGCAGAAAGGGAAAACTCTGGGCCCTTCAATTTTTGATAAGGATACTATTCCCATTGTGAGGGCTTTTGCATCTTATCTTCACCTAAATCTAATCACCTCCCAAAGCCCCACCTCCAAACACTATCACATTAGAGATTAGGGCCTTGACCTATGAGTCTTGGGCAGGCACAAGCATTCAGGCCATGGTGTTCTGCATAAAACATCCTTGTGCTGTGTTTCTATCCAAAAGAGTGGGCCAGTCTCAAATAGTGAACCATGTGCACTGTGACAAGACTGGTTCACTTACATTTTTTTTAAAGTGTATTTAAAAGACATGTGCTGGTTTCATTGATAGGCTGTGCACAGATGCAAATTCGTCTTTGAATGATTTAGAAGTGGCTATGGTTAAAAAACAACAACGACATAAGAAGATTCCTTCATTGAGTGTTCTTATTAGAAAGCTGAAATTGAGTGACATTTTTACTGAAAATGACCTTTAATAGGATGTCCAACATCCATCTGTGAGATGTCATTCATCTCTGAGATTTAGCCTTGACTTAAACTAAGCTGTATCAGAACTGGGAAAAGAAGGCTTGAGTTTTCAGGGTTGCTTTTTTTTTTTTTTTTTTTTTTTAATAAATGATGAAATTCTTGAATTACTTATGACAGTGAAATAACTTTACATTATCTGTATCAACACTTCCTTTTTTAATCTACAAGGATATGAAGTAAGCCTATATTTTCTTCCCGTAAAATTTTCAGACCTTACAAAGAGTCTGAAATATAGTTGTAATTTTGTATTTATACGTATATGTATATATACACACATGCACATATACTGTATATATACAGAACATACCTATGAAAAAGCATAGTGTATTACATTTAGACTATATTTATTTTTAAGCATCATCAATAAACACAAATAAAGCAGTCAAATAACAGTACTTCACCCTAAAATTAAGTGTTATTTTGTTTTATTGTGATTCTTCTCAAACGTAAACATGGGAATATTTTTCTATTTATTTCATTTCTACCCTCATCATACTTGTTGCCATTATTTTTCACAAAAGACAAAGGCTATGTATAATCAAAGATCAGAATCATTAGTATAGTTTTTGATATTTTAAATAAAAGTAATACAACAAAAAATTTAAAATGTAGGAAAAATGAAAACAAACAGTTCATTAATAAGTTTTTATTTCATTACATAGATTTTATGATGGATTTTACATGCAATAAAACATAAACCCATACCAATTTGTATACTGCTTTGTTCACTTAACTGTTAACGTAATCATTTGCCCAAGTTGCTACAAGTTCTTCAAAATTATTCTTTTTAATGGGCTACTTTATATGCCTTTGTGAAATAAGCTGTAATTTCTAAATTATTTATAATTAATTTTCAACCACAAATTTTTCCGTTATTAGATTCAACTCAAAGCAAAGTTAACTACCAGAATTGCTATAGAATCTAGTTATGCTATGTTAATGCATCTAATGAACCATAGCAATTTTTTTGTTTATTCTGTCTTTTATTTGAAGCCTATAGATACAATGATAGTACTCAAAATAAAACAAGTTATATAGGAATTTATCAGAGTTCACACATATTCATAAGAAGTGAAGGCATTTGATCATTACTAACTACATTATGTCAGAGGTTATGCTAACTATAAAATAAGCCACCTTGATCTACAGCCTTCTTCCCAGCCCGCTCAAAATCAGTCCTCTCCCTCCTTCCTGTAGCAATGGCCTACGATTGTTCTCAGGGAGCTTATCCATTCTTCTGCCAGTTATGTTCACTTTTGTACAAGCTCCAACCCCCTTCACCCTCCATCATAAGCTCCTGGTGGGCAGGAATGGCTCTCCTATTTTGGGAAGGCTACTGCATTACCCTACATGCAAAACATGTTCACCAAATACTATGACACCCTGGTTTTGTTATGGTCTGTAATGTTCACAGAAGGCAATATTGGGAAGTGTGTTGGTGTTAAAGATGTTTACTTTCTTGTTTTTCTTCCTTCAGTGGGATGGAGTAGGACCTCTTCCCGACTGTGCAGAACCACCAAAAGGGATCCAGATGCTGTGGCACCCATCAATAGTCAAACCCTACCTCACACTGCTCTCTGAGTGCTCAAATGCAGACACGCTGGAAGGGGCGGCAGGCGCCCTGCAGAACTTGGCTGCAGGGAGCTGGAAGGTATGACTAGTTCGTTACCATAAAAATGAAATCTGGGATTATGAGCACGACCTTAGAAAACAGCACAAGTCCAGTTTAGAGGAAGGCAGTTGTAATGAAGTTTTTGAGGATGTGAAAGAAAGACCGATTACACTGAACTGTGGGACTTAGAAAAGGTATTCCTTTGCAAAATTCTTCTTAAGGGCTCAGGGATCCTTGAAGATCAGTACAAAGCACAGGCGTCTAGATGTAAGTGTAGTCATTGAAAATGCCAGGATGTGCTCTCTATTCTGCTTGTGCATCTGAGCTACTTGGTTTTCAGATGAGACTGGGACATGCTAACGCTTTGCAAAGCACTGTTGTTGGCTGTTAAGGGAGCTAATACCCAAACATCTTGTATACAAACTCATGTGATTGCTGTGATGTGATATAGGTGGTCCTGTTCCCAGAGGAAAAGAAGGCCTTGAATTTTTAAATTATTGGCTTTCAGAGAGAAATAGTGTTGCTAGTTATCTTTGGCAAAAATAAATATGTAATTTAAAGTAAAACAAATATGTGATTGAGAATATTAGAGTCCTTATAAACACACACTGATTGGTTTTCACAGAAAATTTCCATGACCCTCCTTTTGGGTAGGAAGACATTCACCATAACAAAGAATGCTTGAGTTTGATCAATAATTATTGCATGAGCTAACTCGCCTTAGCCTTATTGCATAAAAAAAGCGTAACTTCTTAGAAGAATGAGTGCATATGGGGGAAAATATCAAAAGAGGAAGTTTGGGCATCTGCCATCCATTTTTCATTCATTTAACATTAAAGCCTCAATTTGAAATATGCATAATCACTCCTTCAACATTTTATTGAAAACAATGTTAATATAGACACATAACTACAGATATTTCCCAGAAGTTTAATATTGATACTATAGGCACCACACATACTGGCCTCAGCATTGTCATGCAATCACATCCTCTCTTCTAATTATACCTTCCAACATCTGATTCTTGTCTCCTCTCTCTCTCTCTCTCTCTCTCTCTCTCTCTCTCTCTCTCTCTCTCTCTCTCTCTCTTTCTCTCTCTCTCTCTCTCTCTCCTCTCTCTCTTCCTCCCTCCCTCCCTCCCTCCCTCCCTTTCTTCTTTCCTCCCTTCCTCCCTCCCTTCCTTCCTCCCTCCCTGTGTGTGTGTGTGTGTGTGTGTGTGTGTGTGTGTGTGTGTGAGAGAGAGAGAGAGAGAGAGAGAGAGAAAGAGAGAGAGAGAGAGAGATCTTTTGTTTCCATTGCTACAGTTTTGGCACTAGCACTACCTTCTCTCTCAGGTGTGACCTCCCAATTTGGGGGCCTAGTCTTTGACAATATTTCCCAGGATCTGGCTACTGATGCCTGGAAGGTTCACCCTTCTTATTCTGAGTCTTAGGAAGGAACATATTATCCCTTTCCTCCCCTGCTCTTAGGCAACCCTAAAGATGTACTGGAAGAATTTAGTTTGGGGGAGAGGAAGTGAAGTTGTCACTTGCTTTCAACCATAGAAATGTTTCAAAAGCAGAGTCACACCAGGCAGAATTTTAGAGAATAGTTTTGTATGAGCAGAAAAGAAATAACCATGGGAATCATTTCCTTGAACCAACCCTTAGATTTTTATCTCCTTCTAAATTTAGGAGGCTTTGATTCAAGTCTCAATTCAAGCTTAGACTCTACCTCTTCTGATCTTTGTGACCCTTGGGCAAATTGTAGCACCTCCTTATGTTCTCAGGTGTGTCATTTTTGAACAGAGAAGATTGTGGATGCTTCACGTTACATCATGCCACTGGATGCAAAGAGGAGATCAGGATGTCATTGACCAAGAGGTTCTCAGTATATACAGCCAAGAGCACTTAGTGGTTACAAGTCCCCACCCAGCTCCCGAGTTAGAGGACTGACCAGATAGGCATGGGAAAGTGGGCTCTGGCCCATGGTCATGAGTCTAACCTGGACCACAACACCATCTAGGTAGTAGCAAATCAAATATGTCATCTTGAACCTATGATATTTTAGTGAATTATTATTTTCTTTAAGAAATATTTAGGTCCTTATGACAATTTTAAAAATGGAGACATATATTTGAGGTCTAGAAGATTTTAAATGTAAGACTACAACCTCTGCTTTAAAAATTAAAATCGATGTTCCACATATTCAAAAAGTTAATTGGAACCAATAGAAACATATTAAAGATCTAAAACTTCTAAAGTTAATGGGCAATGTTTGAGACAAAAATGCATGGAAATGGCAATTAACAGCATAGACAATGCAGAAGAAAAAAATTAGTGAGCTAGAAAACATCAGTGGAAACTATACAAAATGAAACAGAAAAAAAAATGTACAGTGGCCTGTTGTATGTGTAATTGCAGTCCCCAAATGAGAGGAGAGATAAAGGAAGAAGAAAATAGAAAAAAAATTATTTGAAAAATTTTTGAAAATTTTTAAATTTAATGGAAACAGTACACTCACAGATTCAAGCAGCTTATGGGACACCACGCACAACAAATATGAAGAAACTGTATCAAGGTACATCACAATCAAATTGTTCAAAATCAGTATAAAGAGAAAATCATAAAAACAACCAGAGGAAAAGAAAGAAATGTTACGTACTAAGAACTGCACCACATTGACATCAAAATTAAGGATCAGTCTCACCAATTATTCATCATGCATAGAAGTCTTTGCCAAACTATTAAGAATGTCCTCTAGAAAGGAATCTGGACTGTGGACACTTTAAAGGCAGAAGCCAAGACCCATGTATTTCTTTCTACATCACCCACTGATCATCCCTGTGATAGAAAAGTGTAACAGGAAAACTATATTCTTTTCAGTTTCCAAACTCATCAGTGCTTTGCAGGTTGCAGATTTTGATAGCATTTCCCAATCCCACAGTTCCTGCAGGTTGAAAGTTGTTTAAATGACCAGGCTCTGTGTCCTAACCCAGTCAGCCAGGGGAGCTGCGGAGGTATTTCTGGGTCTTCAGGTGCTTGGAATAAGAAAATAATAAGATTAAAGATTTTATGCTATTTTGATATCCAAAAATTCTCTCCTACTTTGGATTATAAAATAAGAATTATGGATGAAGTATACAATTTTTTCTGATAATAATATCTTGCTGGCTGTTTTCAGTACATAAACCTGCCCATTAGTTCAGCATGGTTATCCCCAGTGTGAAATGTATCCCCACATATTGAGTAGACATTTATTTGGTAATTTTTTTCCATTGCAAATAGAGACGGATAAGGAGCAGATGAAGTCGGTATCACAAAAATGATCCTGTATTTTCAATAGCGTTTAACAACTATGGCCATCAGATTTCCTAGTCCACATCAGATTTTAAAAAAAGCAAAGAGTACCTCTCATAAACAGGCATAAAGATCTGCCTAAGAAAGGAGAGTTAATACTGTGATGGCAAAGACAAAAGACAAAATGTAACTACAAGGATGCAAAAGAGGAAAACTCCCAGTGGCCATTCAATGTCTTGCATTTATTCTAATAACGGATAAGCATAATGCCGATCCTTTGTAATAAAGAACATGTTAAACTATTACTAGTAGTTTTAAAAGACAGAAATCATTTTAGAAATATTTCCATCCCAATGATTAAAGTAGAATTTTGACTCTCAGAATGGCAGCCTTACTTATAAGAAGCACTAACCTCCCTTATTCTGTAACTTTAGTCAAATGGAATGGTCCTCAGGCAGATCAAGGGACTGCTAAGGAATATTTGTGTATAGTTAAAAATATATGTGCTTCCATAAGAGATTTATTATAAAAATGAAAATACATGGGCAGGCATGAAATTCAATTACATTATCATCATCTGTCATATAATTTATTAATTTACCATATTAAATGGTAAAGGATTATGTGGGGAGGGAAGATAATCCATAGGGATGATTTGAGAAAATCTTTATTAAGCCAAACACCGATAAATTGTTATAATTTTTAAATGACTGTAAAAGAACAACTAATGCAACAAATAAGTAAATCTTTACTTTAAAAAAAGATTTCACTTAAGAAAATAATATTAAGGAAAATATTAAATTAGGATACACAATAGCCTCCATTTTCATATAGACAGTGTTACTATCTGAAACCTAGATTTCTAAGAATGTGATTTTATAGCAACTGTTGAAATTTAGTGACTTTTTTTAGTGTCCTTAACTTTTTATGACACAAACAAAAGCAGAAATGTGAAGGTAGAACACCAGTATTTTGCATAGAGATTGCTTTTTATAGACCTCATCTTCTAAAACAATAATTACTCTTTATGGAGAGATCATGCACACTCCTTTTATGTGACAAATTGACTAGCAAACACATCTTCATAATGGCCCTAAATACTTTTTAAACTTTAAAAACCTCATTACTTGGTTTATGAGCATCAGAAAAACATAATAGCATTGTGACAGAAGCAAAGTGATAAATGTTTTTCATAGCCAGCGTGGAATTCGGTTACCTTTCCCTCTTTTACAATACAATGATGTTTTTGTCACGGAATAATAAAATTATTGGATATAGTAGGTTAAAATTTGTAAAAATGTGACCGAATGTTCTTTGAACTCCCATTTATGGGTTATTTTTATTGTAATTGAACTTTGTAAAAACCCAGGATTTGAACTGTAGAAATACATCTGCACTTGCTATTAAGCCAAACATTTTAGATATCTTTGTTTGGTCAACTTTTCTCCTAAAAAAATGACTATTCTCAAGACTGTTTTTTTCCTTATTTACTTTTAAAATAAGGTAGACTAAATAGATATTTGAATATTAATTTTAAATATTTGATGAGCTAACATAATAGTAACATAGATGTAGTGAAAACAGAATCTTCTGCCATGTGGCCCAAATAAATAAAAAATGAGAGAGCACAGAAAATAAGAATACTGTCACTTTCCCTAGAGACATGGTTAAACAGCCTCAAGAAGGATGCTGAATTGAGCATAGCTTAGTTGTTCTCAGGGCAAAATTGAAATGTCCAGAACTTCCATTGACAATACTCAAAGGGTCTTTACCGCAGAAGTTTAGAGGAGAGTCGAATGAGTTATTGGAACACTAAAATAATAACATGCATTATTAGACCAAAATTAATGGGTGAATTTGCAAGGAATTATATCTATGATTGCAGATGTATATAATTTACACTTGTCTTTTTGAGATGTGGAAGAAAATGGTAGTCAAGCACACCCATTCTAGGACAGTGCTTCCTGGGTTCAAGACCTGATCAAGCAGCTGTAGGCCGAGGGTCCTTGCCATGCCTCCCTATTCTCATCTGTAAAGTGGGAATAACACTAGTACATACATCACAGGGACGAGATGAGGATTACATAAATTAATGCATGTAAAAAAAATAGAACTGTGCCTGGCATTTGGTTAGATGTTAGATTTCTTATAGTTGAGATTATTTTTAGGGCTTATACCTCTCCTGAAATCCTCATTGGGAAAGCATTTCTACAGGACAAATTTGGGTCACATTTCTGTGCTGTTTTCTTCTGCACCGTTCTTTTTCTCCAGCTTCTCTTTGTCATTCTTCCCCTGCCCCTTCCTACTCCTCTTCCTTCTCATCCACTTGAATCATCAAGCATCCTCTCTTCCACTCATGAGCTATTCTTCTCAGAAGCATCCTTATTCTGCCTGATAGCTCACCTCTCTGTACACATATGCTCAGTGCACAGTGCTCTCATTTTGACCAAAGATTTTCACTTCAGCTACAATGGGTTATGATATACGTTTCTCTCTTGTTTATGTTTTTATGCCAATTGTTTAGATGACAAAGCTCTTGGCAACCCATGCACCTCTAACCATCACAGTGGATGATTTCAAGGCAACTGACTTCTCTTTTGGAAAACTCTATAGGAACAGCATGGTTCTGTATTGAGTGTACCTAAAAACATAGCTCATACCTCATACCTCATTTCCCAACAACTTTGTCTGGTGACTTTCTCCTTTCCACCCCTAACTGGGGTTTAATCTTTTTTGATGGGTTACATTTTGATTACACATTACCTATGAGACTGGTCGATTATTTGGGTGCTACTTAAAAGGCATCACTATCACGTGAAAAGTTGCAACATCTTTTGAGTGAAATGTAACTAGTTTATTCTGAGTAATCTTATTCTAAACTGATATTGGGAATTTCCATACATGTACAAAACTAAAAGTTTCAAAATAAAAGTTATTTTCCATGCAGCAATTGTAATATATGAGTTGAAATATGTTGTCTGGTTATCCCTTTTCACTTAAGGAGAACATACCACTGTTGACCATTTTATGATACCAAAAGATGTATCTGTAACATTTTGGGCCATAGATAGCCTCTTTTATTTTATTTTATTTTTTTACTTTCAAATAAGTTCTCACCAAAGCTGAAGGATTCTCATTATTTTCCAAACATCAAATCATCTTTCCATCCCATGTGGGCAGGATATAATAGCTGGACTTCTAAGATGATACAATCACAAACTTCTCTTCTTGGCTCATTTCAAATATGGCCAAGTTCCTATCTATCAATGTTTGGAAGGATGGCAGGGAGAGCAAGGCAGTGTCTGGGAGACTGAGAGAGAGAATGAGATGCTGGCAGAGGAGGGAAAATTGTCAGCATCATAGAGAAGCAGATTTGAAGTAGCAGGTCTGGGGGTCAGGGGCACAGTTGACCCTGATGAGCAGGTTACTTAACAACTTTATGCCTCGATTTCCTCATCTACAAATATGAATGCTGTTACCTCCCAGCGTCTTAGGGAATTAGAAGAGGTCGCTAATGTACATCCAGCATCCGAACTGGAATGAGGTGTGTCAGGGAAGAGGCCATCTCTAGGGCCCATGCATCAGCCTGCCCAAGTTCCCAAGAACATTGCCAATATCTCCCAAAGGGCCAGCATATCTCCCCAGTATAAAATCAATTGTTGATGTTGATTTCACAATTGGTAAACATTGAGCCTACATTCTGATTTCCATTTTCTTCCTTTCTCTCAGCTCCCTTCTTAGTTTTAAGAACGAATCCAATAATGCATGCACTGCATAAGCTCATGTTTTCCTGGACCCTGAAGAGCAGAGGGTTACAAGGTGGTAGATGAAAATCGTGTCTCAGCATTTCAAATTGAGAATAAAGTTTCTGGAGAATATGAAGGAGGTTCTGTACTATGTTCACAGAGCACATCCCTCCAAATTTCAAGAAACAGCTTTCAAACCTGAATGTTTTTCCATGTCACCTATTTTGCTGCTCCCTGAGAGCAGGTCTGTGAAATAGTTGATCTCAACCAAGAGATGCTTTAGTGATTCTAGCTGCTTCCCATCCCCTCAGGCTTCCTGGAGTGGGGGCAAGAGAAAGATTATGGGAGAGTTGATGGTGAAAGAAACTATGTGAATGTGACTTCTAACATAGGATGGGATGAAGTTGTGTGTTTTTTTAATCTCATATTTCATGCAGGGCTGGGCTGAGGATGTGGCAGGCATGGCATATGCCCTACGTTCACTACCAGAGGGGGCTCCCTGCCTGCCACAGGTGAGAGCCAGCTCTGGGGTGTCTGCCCCAATGGGGAAGGGGGGTGGAGGGGCATGGAGGGGGGTTGGGGACTTTGTTCCACCTTTGGTGGTCCCCCAGAGGTCTCAATCACAGAATCCAAAACTTCCTGTCATGAATGTCATTTTCTTATATCCTAAATGAAAATGTGACTGATTGAACCCTATATGGGTTGGTTTTTATAGTGCACGCCCTTCTTTGGAACACTGTAAAATAGTATAAAGTGTATATGCAAATGTCTGAAGATCTGGATCTTCCTGCAATCTGTGACATGGATTGAAATGCTTTATCATTCTGAATATTGCAAGTACATTTCAATAAGATTAGGTGTGCTTCATTAAGATAGATAATCACCAACCCAAAACAAATTATGTATCTTATATTATAAATTACACATGGAATTATGGCCCTAGACACAACACATTTTGATCTATTTTTTTTTTTTAGTTTATAATTTTTACTATTGATTTTATTTACCTCTCCTCACCCCCTACCTTTTTCTGACTTATTTAATGTTTATTTTTCAGCAAAGAACTTATTGATGATATGTTTGGCAACTCATCTCTGTGCCCTACCTCCAAATTAAATCTCTGTTTTTAAACCAATCACCCGCACTCAATCTTTTATCATTTTCTACTTTTCCCAGGGCTTATTTTATTATGCCTCTTAATGTCAGTAGCCCCCTTTCTGTCCCAAACCTTCACATCTCAAAACATCAAATTTACACATCATGCAAATGGCTACAAATGGCTTTCCAATCTAAGGAAAGGAAACACTGGTACCAGAGAAGCAAAATTTGGCTAGCTGACTCGCGCCCTGAAACCTTTACCATATGTTGAAGGCAAAATATAACATGAAAACATTTAAATGCATGTCTAACCTATTCAACCTATTTTACAATTAGGTTTTGATAATCCAACCTTTTTGGTTCGTGCAAAGGACAATCCGAAAACTCGTACGTGCTATTTGCTCCTAGGGTTTACCTCCTCCATTCCTAAGGTCTTTGCCTTCATCTTTTCACAGTGGTCAGTGTACATCCGAGCCGCTGTCCGGAAAGAGAAAGGCCTGCCCATCCTTGTGGAGCTGCTTCGAATAGATAACGACCGTGTGGTGTGCGCAGTAGCCACGGCGCTCCGGAACATGGCCCTGGACGTCCGAAATAAGGAGCTCATCGGTATGTTCTCTCCGATTCTCTCACAGTGTCTCAGTTTTTCAATGAAAATATCTACTGGCAGGGTCCATGTGATTTAATCTACTCGCAGAATATAGGTGCATGCAGAAATGGTGCACTTATTAGGGGCCACGTTTTTTCCTAGTTCTCCTAGCTTAAATCCAAGGACCCAAATTATCTTTTAGAATTCAGAGGAAAATGCAGTATTTGTTGGCATTTCTAATCCTTGCAAATTAACAACTATGTTCAGCACTAGATCTTTTTGATCCTTTAAATCCCTGTTAAGCTTTGTTTTCCATGTGGTGAACAGGAATTGTAATGGTATCCACCCCACTTAGCTTCTCCTCTCAAATTTGTCACTTATTTTGAATGAGAACATATTGGCTATTTTATCTTATTGTTTACTGAATCCTCTTTCTTTAATTTGGCATTCAAGAAATAGGGAGGATCTTTTATTAATGAACAGTAAGGAGGTCAGTCATTCGTCTAAATATTCAACAAATGGCCGAGACCCGTTTGACTCAATGGATAGAGCGTCAGCTTGGGGACTGAAGAGTCCCAGGTTCGATTCCAGTCAAGGGCATGTACCTTGGTTGCGGGCATATCCCGCAGGGAGTAGGGAGTGTGTAAGAGGCAGCTGATCGATGACTCTCTCTCATCGATGTTTCTAACTCTCTATCTCTCTCCCTTCCTCTCTGTACAAGATCAATAAAATATATTTTAAAAAAATAATCAACAAATGTATATCATAACCATCATTGCCTGAGGCCTGTTCAAGGTCCAGAGATTATTACATCAATGAGCAAAGCAGACAGGAAGCCTGCCCTTATGGAGTCTACATCGGGAGAGCAGAGATGTACCATAAACAAGATGCACACATGGATCCCATTGTATGTTAGGAACATTCTAGGGGGGAAATGAACCTGGGTAAAGGAGACAGTAATTAGTGAGGTTGCCATTTTTTAAACTGTGGTTAAATTCACATAACATACAATTAACCATTTAAAGATATACCACTGATACCGAATTCCAAAACTTTGGTCATCGCCCTGAGGAAAACCTTGTACCCATTGAGTAGTTATCCCCACTTTCTCCTCCTCCAGTTGCTGGCACTCTCCAGTGTGTGCTCTGTTTCTATGGATTTTCCTATTGAGGAAGTTTCATGTGATAAGATCATAGACTATGTGAGCTTTTGTGTTGGCTTCTTTTACTTAGCATAAGGAGTTGTGATTTTAAATGGGATGTCAAGCTCAGGATAGGAGTTGTTGGGAAGGTGATATCTGAGCCAGGACTTGAAGGAGGTGAGACTGGCCATGTGGATATTTGGGGGGTAGAGCATCTACATTGAAGGAGCTGCCTCTGCAGAAGGCCTCCTAGAAGAGCAGGAAGCAAGCCAGAGGCTTCAAGGCCTTCATGGGACCTGGTGTGCCTGACACAGTGAGTGATAGGAACCCAGCTGGAGAGGCCTCCTTGTCCCTCCTTTTACAGTGGGAGGATGGGAGGCCAAGGATAACAGATGCGTAGAGAACTGAGGAACCACAGAGACCTACCTGGGAAGAGACACAAAACTACCAAAGACCATCTTCCTAATGTAGGCATCTTGGATCAAAGAGATCATCCCAGAAGGCTCATTGGTCAGTCAGTGCACAGCAGGAAGCCTGATAAGAATGAATGCAGGTAATAGGTGTCAATGAAGGTCAAGCAGCAGGGCGCTGGGCCACCCCCATGCCAAAGGCTCAGGTTAGATAGCCTCTGGGAATCTGGGAGAAAGCAGGTAGGTGAGGGGGCCAATGGGCAAGATTTTATTTCTGGGGCAGTTGGACTACTAGGTGTGGATCCAAATTTCATACACAGATTCTACATAAATACATAGGTTCATTTTTGCTATTCAAATTCCTGAGCGCGGCACACTAGGCCCTTTGCAATTTTTTTGCTGCCATTTCATAATACCCATCATATCTTCCAATAAACATCAAATTTGTACAGTATGCATTTATTTACAAGGAAACCAGATTTCAAATCTGTCTCTAATACATACAATGATTTGTTATACTTGCAGTACACTATTAAGCATGAGACAAACATAATTTGATGTTTATATTTGAATTTAATTTAAATATTATTTGTGGATTTTGTAAAGCACTGAAACTAGGCCATTAGCTCAAAAGGTCAAGATACTCTCGCCCTGCCTCCTTTCCTCTTCTGTTCGTAGTTGTTTCCGATAAAATCCTGCTGCTCCTCTAGAAAATGAAGGAAAAATCAATAGCTAATCAGTCTACTGCCTGGATACTCTCCACTCAGTATTGTGAGTTTGCGTGTTTTATTTCTCCTGGTGGATTAAAATATAACAAAATGGGGAACTATTAATTGGTTTTTTAGCTTCCAGGCATCCCTTCTTCCTCGGAAGCCAGTTATCTAGCGCTCTGTCTGAGGCAAGAACATTTGGAGCTCCATATTGCCCATGTTCAATTAAGCCTTTAATATCCAATGTCACCAGAGAAGAACGGGAACCAATCACTTAAAAATAGGAGTGAAAATATCTCAGTGTCAGGCTTTATGGAATCAATGGCATTTTTCTTGAATTAAAAAAAAAAAAAAAAAAAGCAGAATTTAACACATACCATTTAAAATTTTTAAAAAGCACACCATTATATTCTATCTAGGAGAAAAGAAAGACCTTTGCTAATTCTCTTACTTTAAATAATGTATCAAAGTGGTGAATTTATAGAAAAATGCTACATAGAACTTTACATACTGAAAGGGAAGTGGCAATGATTTTGAACCAAGAACAAAACAATAAACTTCAACATCTTCTCTTTTCTACAAAATCTCACTCAAAGCTTTGGTGATCTTCCATAATTTCATGGTGTTGAAAATCATCTATATTCTGACAACTCCCAAATAGATATCTCTAGTATGAATCCCACATCTCTGTGTCCAACTCTCTGCCCAATATCTCCACTGGATATCTAACATGCATTTCAAGTTTAACATCTCCGTACCTGAGTTCCTTATCTTCTCCCCAAGCTCCATCCTTCCACAGTCTCCCCACAACAGTGAATGGCAATTTGTCTTTGCCGTGGTCCAGGTCAGGCACCTTACAGACCCTTGGACTCCTCACCCTTCATATCCAATCCATCAACAAATCTGGTCTTCGTTCTGTGTTTTCTCAGAATCTGACACTTCTCACCTTCTTTGCTTTTCCCCAACCTCCCATCATCTCTCAGCTGGATTATTACCATGGCCATCTACCTGTTTGTTTGTTTTTATCCACCCCCCCCTTTTTTTAATGTGTTTTTATTGATTTCAGAGAGAGGAAAAAAGAGGAAGAGAGAAACAATTATAGGAGAGAATCATCGATCACCTGCCTGCTACATGCCTCCTATTGAGGATTGAGCCCACAACCCAGGCATGTGCTCTGAGTAGGAATCAAACCATGATCTTCTGATTCATAGGTCAATGCTCAACCACTGAGCCACACCAGCTGGGCCTGGTCTCCCTGCTTCTACACTTGCCCCCTACACTACTCTCAATGCAGAAACCAGAGTGTCCTGTTAAAGCCTTAAAGCAGGTCATTTCTCCACTCAAAATTCCCAATAGCTCCTCATCTCTCTCACTGTAAAACGAAGGCTTTTACAGCAAACACAACTCTACACAATGCAGCTTGCTGTCTGTCCCTCTCTAACCTCACCCTCTCACCTCCCTGTCACTAACTTTACTGAGGCCACTGGGTCACTATGGTTCCCATAGAACATGAGTTCAGTCCTGCCTCAGGCCTTTGAGTTTGCTATTCCCTCTGGCTAAAATCCTCTTCCTCCAGGGGCCTCTATGCTTCAGTTCTCATCCCATTCAGGTCTTTACCAAAGTTTCAGTTTCTAAACAGAACTTTTTCTGGCCTCCATTTTTTCATTCTTTCACCAGCTCTTCTTCTCCCTGCTTTATTTTTCTCCACAGTGCTAATCACCTTCTAGTATACAGCATATTATGTATTTACCTGGTTACCTGACCATCCCCCACACTGGAATGGAAGCCCATGAAGGGCTAAAAACCTGTCTCATTTGTTCACTGATGTAGCCCACGTACCTAGAGCAGACCTCGATCCACAGTAGCAACATCAGAAATATATGCCAAATGACTGAACTAAATATTTTCCTATCTGACCATCATTTTGAAATGAATTCCACATCAGCAAAGCATTAAGTAAGCAACTAAATAAAACAACCAAAGGAAATGATTTTATACTAATAAAGAAAATCATCCAAAAGCCAGTTCATTATCCTACTGAGGTTTACCAGACGTATACAGGAGGTCAGAAGGAATCCAGTTCCTTCCGTCACTGGTTCTGGGGGTTTGTTTTAAATTCTATCTCTCCTTAAATCATTCTTTTAGTTTGAGGTGGAGAAAAGAGCTGCTACCACACTCAGGTCAGCAAATGGTTTATCTTCCTTGACTCTATTATCAGGAAAACTCCAGATAAGCTATTGAACAACCATCACCCTACCTCATCAGCTCTAATGAGGATCATTTAATAGCACCAAGCGGAACATAACACTCTGCCTCTCCCATGTCCCACTCAGGCTGTTCCCATGCTCCTGAGATGTCCCTGCCACCAGGCAGGCAGTGAGTGTGTAGCTAGGTCTTTGTGTTCTGAGTGACTTGGTGCAGTCGTCCGGCTTAATGAACATCCATACATTTTTTTGTAATCTTCTGAAAATATTAATCATCTTTCCAAGTATCACTTCATCATTCAAAAAGGTACTTGTTATTGTTTTTTTAATTAATAGTTATAGTTTGTTTCAGTGAAAAGAAAAAACAACTTTATATCACTTTAACCAGTCTGCAAATTGCCCAACATGTCAGCAGGTTGACAGTTCCCGATGAAGATGGTAGATATCTAATTTAGCCAAATCCACCCCCTACTCTGCCAACAAAACAAGCCAAATAAGACTCCAAGAAAAAATTTAAAAATACAGCACATACTAGTATAAATACTAGAGAGGGGA